TTGAATCCTCCAAAAGAGACATCTACTGATTTTACAACATTTAGACTCAAAGGGATACTATGTGTCCCCTTCTAAGGCCAAGTTTTGCTCTCTGTGTGTCATTATCCTTCATAAACACACTCGAGGCCTTCCCCCTGATAATGTCCAGTTTATTTCTCAGATACCAAGTGGGGACACCACTAAACAACTTCTCTCCATTCAAGGGGTGGAGGGATACTTTTTTTTTTAGGAAAATGTATGCATATTGAGGTAAGGGACACTTTCATCTCTGGGTTTTCATCTCCCAGTTTTGTCCTCCTTACCAAACCCTTGTACAAACTTACAAAAGGAGACCCAATGGAGCCTTTAGAACATAAAAACTCCTTTTTCCAGAACTTAAAAGGTACCCTAAAGACAGCTCCTGGTCTATACTTGCTGGACCTCACTGAGCCTTTCTGCCTGTACACTATACAGCTTGGGGGAGCTGCAGCTGCCACTCTGACTCAGAGGCCAGCCCAAATCCGGTTGCCTTTCTGTCTAAACAACTTGATCCCACTATCCTAGGCTGGCCACCCTGCCTATAGTCAGCTGCCACTGCTGCTCTAATGCTTATGGAAGCCCTTAAAATAACCAGACAAACACTGCTTATGCTTTACTCTCTCACAGCCTGCAGGGTCTCGTATCCTCATCACGTCTCTCCCACCCCCTCTCTGCTCCCCATTTCTTTCTGTTTTATTAGCTCTTTATGGAATCCCCCATGGTGACATTTGCCTTGGGCCCTGATTTCAACCTTGCTTCTTATCTTGTACTCACTGTCTCTTTCTGAAGTACTGGACCCACACAATTTATACCCCTCTTCCTTTCCCCACATTTCAGCTTTCCCTCTTCCTGGCCCTGATCATACTTGGTTTGTTGATGGAAGTTCCTGCATGGTTGCCCACACTTTGCCTACCAGGGCAGGATATGCAACTGTCTCTTGTGATTCTGTTATAAAAGCCACATCTCCCCCCAGCTACTACCTCTCAATAGGCTAAACTAACTGCTCTGACCCATGCTTTTACACTACCTAAGGGCTTATGAGTTAACATCTATTCAGATTTAAGTATTCATTTCCTGTATTACACAATCATACTGCCATCTGGGCAGACAGAAGGTTTCTCACCTCCTGAGGGTCTTCAGTCATTAATGCTCCATTCATTGAAGCCCTTCTCTAGGGCACTCTCCTACCAACACGGGGGCTATGCTTCACTGCCAGGGACACCAAAAACTTTCAGACTCTAAAGCTACCTCAACCATTTCTTACACTGTTGTAGGCAAAGGAAAAATAAGAGGGCAAACAGCATATTGGTAATGACAGTAAAATATTTTTAAGCCAGGCGTGGTGGCACACACCTGTTATCCCAGCATTCTGGGAGGCTAAGGCAGGAAGATGACAAGTTCAAGGCCCACCTATTCAACTTAGTGGCTTAGCGAGACCCTGTCTCAAAATAAAAAATAAAAACAGGCTAAGAATGTATCTCAGCACTCTGAATTCAATCCCAAGTAGGAAAAAAAAAGTATATAAACTAAAAAAAAATCTTAATTTAGTTTTATAATAATTAGTTTATTACAAGAATTGCACCCCAGGTTAAAAAAATATCAGAAAAGCCAATTTGGATAATATAAAAGTAACCCTGAACCACGTGAAAGAACGACATTCATGAGCTATAAACTAAACGTAATTATTTCTGTGTAACACTGGTTATCAATAAAAATAAATGAAACACAAAAATGACAGAAATTTGTCCTCTCAGAAGCGTTCTCCATTTCATCCCTGCAAATTGTTCTCGGGTCCTCCCGTGTCTCCTCTCTCCTGTCCTTCCAGTAGCAGGGTTGTCCTCACTGCCAACTGGCCGACAGAGAGATAGAAAGAAAACACACCTCCTTCCCTGCAAAGCCCAGAAATAATCAGGGTAATGACGGTATCAATGACCACAATGCTCTTGATTGAAACACAGACCAGGGAAGGCTGTCCTCGTGCCTAGAGTTTATTACATTATCTTGCCAGAAGTCACGAGCAGTGGAGTAACCCTATAATAGCACAGCAAATTTGAAAGCAAAGCTCAGATAAATGAGATTTGAAATTATGCCCTATTTTGCCACATGAGGCAAATGTTTAGAGACCACAGCAGTCTTACAGAATATCCTCTCCTTTTAGAAACCAGAGTACTTTGATCTGTAACCCCAGAGGTGTGAAAAATCAAGGTAAGGAGGGCAAAGAACATGGAGGAGGTGTTCGTCCTGGGCATAGGGCAGAGATACAACTGGATTCCAAGTCTTAGCAGAAGCTGTCTGACATCCAACACCAAAAAGTCTGATCAAAGCTTAGCCACAGAGACAAAGGGAAGGAAAAATGTACAGACACAGAGATGAGTTCTCAGTGTACAAGACTGGAGTGACCTAAACTTGTCTCCTGGGCAGTGGGGCCTGTGGCTATACTTCCCCAGACTGATCTCCTTTAAAGGGAAATGAGGCTGGGCGTGGTGGTGCACACCTGTAATCCCAGCACTCGGGAGGCTGAGGCAGGAGGATCCCTGTGAGTTCGAGACCAGCCTGGGCTACACAGTGAGTTCCAGGTCAGTCTCAACTACATAGTGAGACCCTGTCTCAAAAAAACAAACAAAAATAAATAAATAAATAAATAAATAAATAACGGGAAATGAAAATTCTGACCTTAAGGGGTTCCTCTGATGAGTAAATGCAGTAACTCAAGGAAGCAAAGAGCATAGAAGCTGGTCTGTGACAGGGAACCCAGAGTTCTCACCTGTCCTCCTGCCTGCCACCCCACCTGCCCTCTCACCCCCAAGGGCTCAGAGAAGAGCAGCCCTGTTTGCTGATAAGGCCACGTTATGCAGCAACAGAGGAAAACAGAAGGCCTGCCAATGCCGGTGTAATTTCCAGACTGCGCAGATTTCCCAGAAGGAAGGATACAGGGTGTTTGAATGGCTTCAAAATGGCTTTTGACAGTAATAGAAGGTCTCAGCCTGCGTTGTCCTAAGTTTACATAAGGATTAGGGAGGATGAACGACAGCAGAATCTGGAGACTGCTGAGGAGAAACAGAAATCCCCCTCCCTGACAAGCCCTGGCTGTGCAGCCCTCCATGCCACAGGCACACCAATACACACACCCAGGTTCACACACACACACACACTCACGCAACCATGCTGTATACACAGGCACACCCTCAAAACACACACCCACACAGGCACATAACTCATGCACACGCCCTGTGATGGTGGACTGGTTGTGTCAGTTTGAGTAAGAAATGCCCAGCTAGACCGGCACAGCACAGGGCTGGGTGTGGAGAACCCACCTAGGGAGGACTGTGACCAGAACAGTGTAAGAGGGACATGAAGAAGGTTCCAGGCTTCCGACTGGATCCTTAGGATCCCCAGTGTGCAGGCAGACCTTTTGAACTCTTCCACACCCGGCTCTGTGGGCGGCCATCATAAGCCAATCTATAAATCTTTGTATATTTATATATCTTGCATTATACCTGTTTCTGTAGCAAACACTGACTGGTATACACACACACTCTATAAACACTCAGGTGCCAGAAAGGAATTTTTTACCCGCCATGGTGGCACAGGCCACCTAGCACTCAGGAGGCCGAAACAAGAGGACTGTCTTGAGCTCAAGGTTAGCCTGGGCTACATGGTGAGTTCAAGGCCAGCCTCTGGCTGAGGATTTAGCTCAATGGCACAGTGCTTGCCTGGCAAGCACTAGGTCCTGAGTTCAGTCCCTGGAACACACACACACATACACACAAAGCCAGCCTGAACTACATAGTAAGACCCTCTCTAAAAAAAAAAATAAGAGAAAGAGAGAATTTGAAAGCTGAATGTTTAGGCTTCAGAACACACACTTCCACAGAGATAATGTTACAAGAGGTGGCTGTATTTCCAGGTTAGCACACATCAAACAAAAATGCAGCCCCCAAATTAGGTAACGTGCTACATGTTGGCAATTCAACAGTGAGGAAAGGAACTAATATTATGGGTTTGCCTCTTTCGTCGAATCGTTACTAATGTCTCAACTAAATAGTATTTTGGGGTTAAATGCTTTCCAACAGGGTATGAACCCTGGGCACCTGCCAGGCCATCACCTGGGCCTGATTCACACACTGCCAGCTCCAGGGCACTGGGAGACAGGAGATAGGATGGCCCAGGGCAGCTGAGAGGAGTTCAGTCTGAGGGGCCACGGACGTCTACCCTGAAGCTCCAAACACTCAGCAGAAGGTCCTACACAGGCCTGGGCGGACCCTGCCTAGAATTAGCCCAGCCATTCTGCACAGTCGGTGAACTGCCTATTGGATTCCCATGTTTCTGGTGGAGATACCGAGCCAGCCCAAGGCCAGCCAAGCCAGTCCTCTTCGCCCAAAGCCTCCGCTTGGCTGCCCACCGGAATCATGGGGGCCGTTAGTGGCACAGACACTTAGATCTCCACGCACAGAGAACTTCTGGCCTAATCGGCTCAGTTTCTACCTGGGCACCCAGACTTTCTCGAAGCTCCGAGGATGACAAAGGCACAGATGGAAAACCACCATCTTCAGCAACAGCTGCCAGTGGAGCCCACACCACCCCTTCCTGTCACCAGAGGTGAGGACCAGGCAGCCCTCCCAGATCCTTAGGGACCCATCCCCCTCCACCAAGCCGAGGAAACAGGGCTCTGGGCCCCAGCGTAAGTGCGGCAGGAGGCAGTGCCTTAGCTAACAGCCAGCAGCCCTTTCCCACCAGCTGGCTGTGAGGGCATCCAGGTTAGTGGTCCTCACATTCCAGTCAGCAAGGACACCACTGAAGTGAACCCCAATGTGACTGAAACATCTTTTGTGTTCACAACACCAGGATGGCCAGTGCCTGCCTCAGAGAACTTTTTGTTCTCGCTTCATTCTCCGCTTTGTTTCTGAGGCTTCAGTAGCCAAGCACCCCAGGAATGCTCAGAGCTGGAGCCATCCTCCCTCCTTTCTACAAAAATAACTTACATCTTGTTGAGCCAGGAGGGGGCGTAAATCCCAGGCTCGTCATCACCCAGGGGATTCTTCACCAGCGAGGCAGCTGTAGCTGGAGGCCAAGCCACACTCTGTGTTCCTCCTGCTGCTTCCCAGAGCATCCAAAACTGGAACAAGTGGGGGAGAAAAAAAAAGTCTGCCAAAATTATTCCTAAACAGTGTCCTATAAAAATGTAGTTTTTCAGAGATCAACGAAAGAGCAATAGTCTTGACACCAGGAAACACAGACAACAGCTCGAAAGTCACGGGGGCAAAAATATAAAAAAAGAAAGGGGATTTAACCCTCAGGCGTGGCCCACCAAGAATAAGATGCAAGTGGAACAGCTGAGACCCTATCTACTGGAGAGCCGCACCTCCAGGACACTGGGCCTTGGTGGCCCCACTGGAAACTGTGGGAGACCTGAGGAAACTTACGCCCCCTTGTGGATCAACAAGACGTAAGTACAGCAGATGCGACACCACGAGGCCTTTGGGACAAGGTCAGACAGGCAGTGGACTCCAGCTCAGCCCTCGGTTGCGTCAACTGCCCAAGGCCACCGGCCCAGAGGGAGCAAGGGGCACACAGACAGACAGACCTGCCTAGGGTCTGGGGCGGCAGCTCCAGAGAGGCCCCACCTGCAGCAGCACCAACCTCCAGAACCAAGTGGAGACAGCGTCCACGGGTGATTCCAGCCCACGACCACCGAGTCCGTCCCAGGCACCGGCGTCCTCAGCCTGAAGCTGCGACACTGAGCAGAGAGGCAAGCCCTGCCATGCCCGCTGACCCACGCAATTCATGAGCCAATTAAATGGCTGTTTGAAAGCCCTGGACTTTGGGGTAATTTGTTGCAGGTGAGTAGTCACTGGAACCACCTCATGAACACCGAACACCGGGAGGGAGAAGGGCTGTGGGTGGAAAGGGCAGAGGCCCTGCGGGGAGCCAGGCAGGGGCACAGGCTGAGCCAGGGCAGAGACGAGGTCGGGAACACTGGCCACGGTGCCTCCAGGGTCTGAGAAAGCCAGGGGTGGCAGCAGGAGGAAGGGCTGCCTCGTTTCTGGTTACCAGGTTAGCGACCCCAGCCCAGCATGCAGTGACAGTGGCACAACTTAGAAGAAGATGGACACCCAGGGAGGCAGTGCACTGGGCAGTTTCTGCGAGTCCCTTAATGCTGGCCGGAAACAGAAACCAGGCCACCAAAGCTGGCCGCAGCCCCTGATCTTAAGACCACAGGGCCCCAGGAAGATGGAAGTGTCTGCTCCTGATTTTTCCTTCCTGCGTGATGAATACTTTCCACATGTGAGGCTGGGACTCTTCCCCACCTGAATCTCATATTCGGTGAACAGTGTGTTGAGCCGCGCATGGTGACACACCTGTAATCCCAGCACTCTGGGAGGCTGAGGGAAAAGATTGCAAGTTCCAGCCCAGCCTGGGCAGTTTAGCAACCTAGTGAGACCCAGTCTCAAACTAAAGTTTGGAAAGCACTGGGAATAAATAGATAAATGGTGGGTATGGTGGTGCACGCCTGTAATTGCAGCATTAAGGAGGCTGAGGCAGGAGGATCGCCACGAGTTTGAGGTCAACCTGAATTACATAGTAAGAGCCTATCTCAAAAAAAAACAAAACAAAAATCAATAGCAACAACAAAAAATGCTGGGAGTGTAGCTCAGTGGAGAGGCCCTGGGGTCAGTCTGCAGTACCACACACACACAAAAAAGAATAATATGTTCAAGAAGGCAGAGCTGCTCTGGGACAGAACTGCCATATACAAAGATTTGATGTACATCCTGGTGCTGTCGGGACAGCTCTCATCAGATATATTTCTTCAAAAAGAAATATTATAAGGGAAAATATTTAAATTTCCCAATATGTTAGCTTTTTTTTTTTTCTGTATCTGAGGTTGAACTCAGGACCTTGAAGCACAGATCCTGTGCTTACAAGACAGGCAGAGGAACCACTGAACTAAATCCCCAGCCCAGCATCATTTCTTAGTATGTGGCTCTCCCTTCTCCTTCTTACCTTCATCGTAAACCACAAACGCTATACATGCATAATGCTAGCATGTTTTGCACTGTGTGATAACTGGTGCCTTTGACTGGTGTTTGTATTAATACTGCTTTAGTTATAGACTCTTAGTAGCCTGATGTGGTGGTGCATGCTTGTAATCCCAGCACTTGGGAGCTGAGGCAGTAGGATCCCCGCGAGTTTGAGGCCAGCCTGGGCTATATAGTGAGTTCAAGGCCAGGCTGAATTACATAGCAAGACTCTTTCTCAAAAAACAAACAAACAAAAAAAGACAGTATTCCTGAGCCTGAAGAGTACCTTAAAAATTAGTACTATAAAACCATCATCTGTTCTTGGATGCCTAAGGTTACAGGGAGATAACCAGATCGCCAAGAGTTCGAGACCAACCTGGGCTACATAGTGAGACCCTTAAGTTTAAGAGAGAAAAACAGAAAAACGTGCTCTAAATTTGGGGCAAACCCGTTGTGAGCCCTCGAGCCAATGCACCTCTCGCCGATGCCACAAGGTGGCACATCGAGAGGCTAAAATCCCGCTGCTTTTCACCCGTGCACTTGGCGAGACAGGCGTGGGGAGAACAGCTGCAAGCAGAAAGTCAAAATAGAGTTCTATTTAGGAGAGTGGAGCCTTCCACCTGCCCGTCTCCCGCCGTGATCCTTGGTTGGCTCTTGGCAGGAGATAAATGAATGAGCTCCTTTCTTACCTCCGTGTCCTGCTGCTAACCCACATCGCTGGTTCTATTTTCTCTCCATCCCCGACATGGCGCGAGTCCAGCCGGAGCCGCCGGGGCGCTGTCCTGGGTGGGGAGAACGGGGCTGCAGTTCCCCCGGTAGCCCCTGGAGGCCAGTTCTCCAACAGACCCCTTCCTGCCCTCTTACTCAGCACACGCACGCGCGCGCGCGCGCGCACACACACACACACACACACACACACACACGCCCGTTGAAGGGCCCTAACAAATCCTCACCCCTGGGTTTAAGCCACAGAAATCTTCAAGAGCAAAGCAGTGAGGGGTTTGGTCTCCTCTGTCCTCAGACTTTCCTCCATCTTTCCTCTGTCTCCCTGTGTGTCCCAATATCCCTTCTTTTAAGGCCACCTGTCAGCTCAGGTGAGAGCTCATTCAGGTGACCTTGTTTTAACTCCCTCACGGTGGTGTGAACAGCACAGCGCGTCTCAAGAGTGGCGAGCACTTCGGCAAGCCTGGGGTGTAAAGCAAAGGAGTGTGGGGTGAGGCTCTGAAGAGCAGGGAGCAGTGAGCACAGAAGAGCCTCGGGGAGAGAGGGATGGGCCTGTCATTCCGAGCAGTGAAGTGAGCTCAGGCCAGTGTGGGACAAAGCCAGGTAGAGCAGAGAGTGCAGCAAAACGGCCTCAGGCTGGACCGTCAGGAGGCGAGGCCGAGTGCGAGAACCTGAGGTCACCAAAGCTGTGTCCCCAAAGGGGATTTCAGACTCTCTCTTAGCTTCCTGTCCGTGAGGTGTTTGTGTCCACCAGAGGTGCAAAGCCACTGTCTGCACGACCTTGAACTGGAGCCTCTAAAGCCTCAAGTCAAAATGAGCCTTTTCTCTTTATAAGTTAACTATCTCAGGTATTCCGTTACAGTGACAGAAAACCAGCTGAAATATTATTTTGCTACTTTCTTTATGGGGAAGGAAATCAAAATGTAATTAAAGGTGTGCACAGGTCCCACGACGACGACGTCTGGTGGGTCCGTAGCACAGCGACTCAGCTCAGCTGCAACGCAAGTCCTGAATTTACCTCCCAGGTAGCAGCGGGTTCACCCGGGCCACAGGAGACCTGTGCTTGGGATCTGGAAGGCAGAGGACAGCAGCAATGAGCTCCTTTTTGTACGCAGAGGGTCAGCGTGGCGCGTAGATGCTGCTGTGGCCGACAGGCCCCGGCCTCCTGTGCACTCGCTGGGCTGGCAGGGCCGACGCCAGGGTCAGCTCCAGCCGACTTCTGCTCTCGGCATCCTCCCTCCGGCCCAGTTTCAGCTCATCCAGTGATGAAGGCACAGCTGTGGTGCAGGTCACCCCGTTACCGCGGCGGGCGGCAGAGGGTGAGCGGGGCGTGGGCTTCAGTCCTCCTCTGTGGGGCCCGTGGGAGGCTCCGGGACAGACTCCACCCCTCCCCAGCTGCCCAGATGGCTGCCCACTGACCCTGTGCCCCAGCAGAGGAGCAATGGCCACAAAGAGGTGGCGACCCGTGCCCGTAACTGCCCAGGTCCCCCTGCCACGATGCACCCTTTCCTACAAGACGTGGATGCAGCGTGTGAGGGCGAGGAGGGGGCGACTCCTTCGGTCTCTCCACTTGGACACTCGAACACTTCACACAGGCCAGAAGGTAGGCGTGGATGACCAAAGGGAAGGACCTGGGCTTGGCCTCCCGCCTCCCCTCTGTCCTTTGCCCTTGCCGTCTCTGCTTGTATGGCAGGGACTGACACCCGGGCCGCGTGTCCCGGGCTCCTGGTCCAGCTTCCCCTTGGTGTGGCCCCAGCGAGAGGCAGATGTGAGGGACAGTGGGAAGTTCCCAGCATCCCGCGCTGCCTGGGCGCGTCTCGCTCCCAGCTGGCCCTGGCTCTGACCTCATCCCTGACGGCTCCTGGGCTCCCGCACTGCTGTTCCTGTCTCCGTCCCTCCAACTAGTATGATGCAGCCTCATGCCGTTGTTTGAGTTGTCTCATAGACGGTTTGACCCCTCAGCCCATCCATCACATGTATAACCGGGTCCCTGGATGACACTCCACACTTTGAGACACTTGGGGCAGTTTCTCTTTGGCTGGTCACATCCAGACTGACACAGCCCACTTATCATTTGAACCCTTTTTTTCTTTTGCAGCAATGGGGATTGAACCTAGGACCTTCGCCCTTTTGTCATTTTTATTTTATTAAATGGTCTCACTAAGTCGCTGAGTTGCCCGGACAGAACTTGACTGGCGATCCTGCTGCCTCAGCCTCCCACAGGGCTTGGATTATAGATGTGCAACACCAGCTCTGCACTCATTTTTAAAGCAAGACAAATAAGAACCGGCTCGTGACTTGTCCCAGTGGTGGCTCAGATGCGGGCCCAGGGTAGGCGGAGAGTTGGGCTGAGGAGGGCTGGAGTTTTGCCAGGAAAGTCTGAGGTGGGACGATGGTCCAGGACCCTTGGCCGAGTTAGGGGACAGATGTGAAAGGATGGACAGCAGTGCTGAGGCAGTCGGAGGGTGACAGACTGCCATGGGGCTGACCACCTCCAGGGAGCGAGCAGAGATCCATGAAAGTGGTCAGGGATTCGAATGCCTGAAAGCAAAGCTTTGGCAAGAGACGCACAGTGCGGGATGAGAGTGTGGACTTGGACAGCGGCTGAGCCAGGGCGGGAGACAGGACCGTTGATGCGACCGGACAGAGAGGCGGGCGCTGAACAGATCCTCTGCTGGGCATGTGGGCCCGTGACTGTAGGAGGGCTTGGGTCGCCACCCCACCCCCCCAGCCCCACCCGGCCTCACCTCCACGCCCAGCCAGGGCCCCGCCTCCACCCACTAGCAGCTACTGATGCGTCCTAGACCCTTACCAAATATTTGCAGGGAAAGGAGAGAGCACAGCTCAGCATAAGACCAGAAATAAAACTGAACATTCCACATAGTGTCGTGGAGTCCTTCATGGGATTTCTCAAGGATGATTTTCCCCTTAGGTTCCCACCGCTGTGCGTGTGTGTGTGTGTGTGTGTGTGTGTGTGTGTGTGTGTGTTACTAATGGAACCCAGCACTAAACTACATCCCTGCCCTTTTTTTTTTACCAGGGATCAAACTCTGGACTTTGTGTTTTCCAGGCAGGTGGTGGAACCACTGAGCTAAAACCTCAGGCCTCTCCTTGCCCCTTTTTATATTTATTTTGAGATAGTCTTGCTAAGTCACTAAGTTGCCAAGGCTGGGCTTGTATTCGTGGTCATCCTGCCTCAGTCTCCCTGAGTGCTGCAATTAAACTGTGCACTACCATGCCTGGCTTCTGCTGGTCTTGTTCTGGACACCTCTCTACGGAGACTCCCCACTTTTTCTCCTGTGCAGGACATCTGGTCACCAAACCCTCTCTTGCAAACCTTTAGGACAGTGTTCTATGCCCAGTGAGTGGGTGCTTAGCAAATCCTATTCTCTTTTCAGCCCCCTATGGGGTTCCACCTCTATTTCCAAAAGGCCTTTCCTAGGTATTTTCCTAAGTAAAAGAGTCATCAATCTCTGCTATAAAATCTGCTCTATCTCAAAAATGCAGAACTACAACCACCATGGACTTACTTTGACAAAGCAACTTCATTGTTATTCGAAATAAAATAACATCATGTAGGTAACAGTGTTTGAAATCTGAAAAGCACATTTATGATCCAAGCATAAAAAGAGAAAAATAGCCAGGCGTGGTGGTGCATACCTACAATCCCAGCCCTCGGGAGGCCAAGGCAGGAGCATCGCCTGGACTACATAGTGAGACTTTATCTCAAAAGAGAGAATGTTATGGAACCCACAACCCAATCTAGTAAGGTGACCCAGGAACAGATGTTCCATTTGTAGGCAAACTTGGGGAGACTAGATTGTGCCTAAACACAAGACTCAGCCGAACTCAGGCTTGCATAAGTGAGGTGTATTCGGGGTGAGACACAGGAGATGTTTAAGGAGGCAGGTGTCCCGGGCCGGGCATGCTCAGAGGCAGAGCATTGTCCTAGTACGGCTATGGCCCTAGGTTCCCTCTCCAACACTGCCAAACACAAAACAGAAACTTGGAATTGTGGGGGACGCCCAGGTTGAAAATAGATGGGAGTAAGAAGATGGGGAAATCAAGTGTGATTTTCTTCTTCTACACGCTGGCATGAAAAGGAGGACGACTGGTCAGGCATGGCGGTGCCCTCCTGTAACCCCAGCCCTCTGGGAGGCTGGATGGGGGGATTGAAAGTTAGGACCCAGCCAGGGCAACTTGGTGCCTTAGTAAAACACTATCTCAAAATAAAAAAATATAAAAGGGCTGGGGGCGAAGCTCATGGCCAGGGCCTTGGATTCAGGCTGCAATCGTGAAAAAAAGAAAAGAAAAGAAGAAAGACAGCATAGTAGCCACTTCATTCCGCCTCCATAGCCCAACCCACACCTCACAGTCTGTTGTTTCGTGTTCATCTTCTCTTCTAGAGGAGACCCTACGAGCATCTAACACTTCCTCCCCCTTACCCTTTGCAGGGTGCCCGATAGCGCTTTCCTGCCTGAGCATTTTGGTAGTGAGAAGGACAGGCCAGAGGAAGTGAAGAAAAGAGGGAGCAGATGTGTTATAGATGAACTGTACCCCCTCAAATCCCTATGGAGCTCCCCTAGTCCCCAGTGGACTCTATTCGGAAATCGGGCCTTTAATGGGGTTAAGATTTAAATGCAGTCATAAAAACAGAGCCCTAATCCAATTGGACTTATAAGTGTCCCTACAAGAAGCGGAAGGAAGAGACATGAAGAAAAGAGGTCAGGGCCAGGGATTTAGCTCATTGTTTCCAGCGCCTGCCTCGCAAGCATAAGGACCCAAGTTCGATCCCCAGTACCAGAGAGAGAGAGAGAGAGAGAGAGATCACATGAGGACACAGCAAGAACGTGGCCATCTATCTGCAAGCTAGGAAAAGAAGCCTCACCAGGAACCAACGCAGTAGCACCTTGATCTTAGACTTGCGGCCTCCAGCACTGTGAGAAAATAAAGTTCTGCTATTGAAACTGTTACTGAAATGTCAGGTGGGTGTCTCTCAAGTCAAAGAATGAAATCATGGAGCAGGGACGGAAGTTCCAAATAGGAAGGAAAAACTCCCACTCTCCGGGAGGGACACTGAAAGGGGTTTGTCTGGAAGGCTTTTTGTCAGGCAGCGTGTGGGATTTTGCTTGGTGTTGTTTGGCAGGTACCTATCACAAGTGGCCGCCTGGGCTTACAGACCAGCTAAGACTCTGGGCTTCCTAATGCAGAGTTGCACAGGCCTGTTGCTCACTGTTCCCAAATTCCTCGACAGACCACAGGGAGGAGTTGTTTGCTTGGCTTGCGCAATTCCTTCCTTGGGACACAGCCCTAACTGCTTGCCTGTATCCTAATTCCTCTCAAAACGACCTAGTTGTAGCCAGGTGTGACGGTGCACACTTGTTAATCCCATTCTAGGAGGCTGAGGCAGGAGGATTAAAAGTGTGAGCCTAGCCCTGAACTATTTAGCAACTTAGTGAGACCCTGCCTCGAAAATAATGTATTTTTAAAAATTTAAAAGGGGTGGAGATGTAGGTCAGTGTGAAGGCTCTAGGTTCAGTCCCCAGTAT